CTTCTCCTTGGATTCCTGACACAGAGCAAAGAATGACTAGATGTGATATCTCCTATTCATCTTGCTCAAGGTTGTGTAGGTACCTTCCTGTCATTTGTACCCCATAATGTCATGGCTTCCTGAAAATGAAAAGTTACAGACAATCTCAGAGGTTCTGTTCTAATACAACTTAATCCATCTCATCACTTATCAAAAGAACTTCTGATATGATAGAAACCAAAGTTGACTTCGGACATTACAAATGTTTTCACTACTTTGATTTCATCTTTATCATGTATAGTGAATTTTAGGAACATAGAATTGCAGAAGTAATGATGGGATTAAATTTTTATTGCTAAGGCTTTGAGACAAACTTTTAAAGCTCATTAGTAATTGAAAATTGTAATCCTGGTGACGATATATTTTACTGCCATAATAACTGTAAAACACAATGATAAATATAAAAACATTATACTAGAACTTGGAGGAATGTTTTCACTCTTGTTTTCTTATTAAACTCTGTAGAAATTATTCTGCAGTGTACAGTTTTGTATAAATGGGTTACCACTAAGACTAAAGTGCAAACAAAAATATTCCACTATTTGTTTAAAATTGCAATAAGGCTGTTAACAGTTTTTGCAGATGTAACTGTAAAATGCAAAGGTGAGAAATAATTTTATTACCCAGAAAGGTATAATTTATGGGTGAACTTTGTTAAGTATTTGTAGCGAGAGTATAGTTGATTTGTTTTATTCATTCACTTATATAAAGGTACTTAAGGAGCGCTATGGTGTGCGAGGCCCTGTGCTCAGTTGGAAGGATGGGCTTTGTGTCATCTTTGTTCTTTGTGTTTCTCACTAATAACATCTTTTATCTTGTTGGACTGTTGGGAAATGGTAACTCAAAATGTTGCTTGAGTTGAAAATGAACTTTAATTTCATGCCTACCCAGGTAAAGTGCTTAGAAAGTCCAAGATTTTCAGTAGCCTGATAGTCCATCTTCATTCTAAGATGGAAGATGTACAAAGGCAGATTCTAAATTCTTTTAAGTTTTGATTTGCCTGTTAGGCTCCAATTCAGCATCAGCAGGCATTGCTCAATGACACTGGCTGAGGTGTTTGGAGTTGCCACAGGACAGTGACAGCACTGAGGGTGGTCAGGATGGGACTTAATAAGCACAGTGGCTGAGTCACAGGGTTGACACACCATCTGTAGGTTCAGAAGCAGCAGGGCAGAGATGCTTGCTGATAGACAGGTCCATGGTGGCTCTGAGAGGCAGCATGGGCTTCCTGTGTGGTGGCTGACTTATCTGTCAGATGCAATGGGAACTCCCACATATTCCCCTTATGTCTTGGTAGGATTCAGTGAGTTGATCTGTGCAAAGTGCTTGGGAGGGAGCTGGCATATGGACAGAACTGACTCTGTGGTGGTATTGGGTGATTGTGATGGTGACCATTTGCATCCTTTTTCCTATTTGCAAATGTATTTCTTCACTCAGTGTCACATGGTCACAAGAGGTCAGTCCGTGACAGACAGCGTCAATAAGAGCTAGTAGGTCATTCTTCCTAGTAAACTGTAATTGAGAATTGAAGGAGAATATCTTTTTAATCATTAATGTGACAACTTTGTGTCCCAAATAGACCAGTAATTAGGGTCAGTCAGGACTCTGTTAGATTGTTTCCTATAACATGGTTCCAGAAGGTTTCCAGACCTCAAGAGTTCATTCACAGTGACTCAACTTCTGTTGGCTCTAGAGGGGGAGAAAAGTAGCAGTGCCTCCTGTGCATGGAAGCCATGCCTCATGCAAGTTCACTGAGTCACTTCTCACCTTGCATTCCCAAGTGTATAACTGCTCCACTATTACTCGCTCTCTACATCCCCAGAGGAGCAATGGGGATGGAAGGGTGGGGAGACTGTATGTAATCCAGTAGTTTTGCCCCAAGGTGTTGGGTAATGTCTGGAGACAGTTACGGTGGTCACATCTGGGGAATTGCTCCTGTCACTTAGTTAATAGAAGCCAGTGAGACTGCCAAACAGCCTACAGTGCACACAACTGTCCCCACAACACGGAGTGAGCTGGCCCACAGTGTCAGGAGGCCAAGGTTTTGAAACTTGAGCTGCCCATCCTAGAGGGCCAAGGCTTTTGTGTTTGGTGATGGTTCAGGGCTATTTTAACACAGGCAATAGTTGGAGGGGATGCAGGCTCTAGGAAAAGAGGATGGAGAAGGGGGAGACTGATGTCCTACATCTGAGGACTGTTTCTACTGAGCTTAACTACCTCTCACTGGCACAGATGTCCCCCAGTAATCTTCAGAATGTGGAAGAGCCAGTTAATGCATTAAATGCAGTGACAGAGCTGAGCGGGTGACTGACTCCCGCTGTCCATGCCATCTAATGATGTGCTAGGAACACACTGAGTTTTGCTGACCGTGGGACTGCAGCCCCAGAGAAGAGTGAGCTCATGACCCTTCGGTAAACTAATAAAGCTTTGTGTCGCCCAAGGACAGACGAATTTAGAAAGGACAAAGCATTTTCCAGAGGGAGGTTTTATTTTATTTATTAGCAGGCACTTATGTAGTGCTTATTACGTGCCAAGAAGTATTTGAAATGCTTTATAAATATTAACTAAGTCATATAAGACTCGTGGCCTTGAGTCTGCTAACCAACCTTACCACTGAGCCCCTGGCCCTCTCTGTCTTCACAACAGCCCCAAAGCAGGAGGCCTGTCCATATCACCGTTACGCAGAGACAGACAGGAATGAAGGGCTATGACTCAAACCTAGAAAATCTGGCTCCACAGTCTGCACCCTCAACCACACGTGTTAGATGAAAGACTTACACTCACACTGTCTCTGAACCTCAGTTTCCTCAACTATAAAATGGAGTTGTACTTACCTCACAGGGAGAATATGAGGATAAACCAGAATGGTTTGTGTATGTGTGTGACATAGGACCTAAGAAATTATTTCCCTTCCATCTTTGTTGCCATCACAGTCTAAACCTGGGGCCTCAGTGCTCTGGCTGGCTTGTCCTTGAGCTGCTTATTCAGGGACAGCCACAGGACTCAGGAGAGGCTCAGGAAAAGGAAGTGTCTTATAACAAAGGTCCTGGACAGGAAGCACAGCATGCCATGCAGGCCCATGTGGAGAGATACCAGGGTGGTCAGGAGGCAGAAAACAGCAGTGAGGGGAAGGTTCAGGCCACTGCATTTACTGAAGTTACTGGGTTTCCTGAGGAAAGCAAGACAGGGCAGTCTGAACAGGTTAGGATTGACTGGTATGAACTGTGTAGACTGTAGTGGTGGCCCCTACTTGCCTGGTACCTGGCCCTGGGATGGTTAAGGTGACCCTGGAGTGTACAGGCTAGATAGTGAAGATATTATGGTTCTGGGCTGGTTAGTTTTCATTGTCAAAGATGTGCTTCAGGCTGGGCCCGTTGCCATTTCTAAGAATTGACTGCTTCTGGAAGGACAGTGAGGAAGGTTTTTGAAGATGTCCAAACAATCATAATATACAGAAAAATTTTAAAAGTTATAATACTTTTAGGGAAGATATACAGCAAATAAAGGGCCTTGGATACTCGTTAGAATGAATGAATTAATCAGCTGCTACAGATCTTATCATTGGGAGGAAGTCTCATGTTTGGAGTTGGGATGAGATGATGCCAAGAGCCAGACTTTCAAAATGAAGATATGGGCTTTGTTTCTGTTTATAGGTTTTAGTTGGCATATGTGATACTATCTGCAAACCACTGAGAACACAAACTTCCAAGTTAACTGCAAACCTGTGGTTCTGTTCTAATGAGTTTCTCTCTTTGCCTGGATGCAGCTGGGCCAATGTGTCTGGGTTGGAGAATTGACCAGGTGTGTGGTTTTTGGCAGATCAGAGCACCTGCTCAGAGGCAAGCTTGCTCTGTTCTCAGTAGAATGGAAAGTGACACTTCCCATTTGTCTTAATTCAGGGCCCTTCTACCTCCTGCTGCCCACACTGGGAATTTCTCTCCTGGCCCACTCCCAGTGCTTAGTGGGCTTGGCTCTGCTCTTGTCCATCTGCCTCTCTGACACATACAAGTCAGTAGGTCTTTCTTTGATGGTGAGTTTCCAGAAGCGAGGGCCTATGTCTCTCTTTTTCTACCCCTGTGCATTATGTTACAAATAAGCATAATAAATGCTTATATATGGATGAAGACCATGTTCTAGGGAAGTGCACACTTTTTAGTGTACAGACAGATGTGCAAGAAATGAACCCTATTCTGAAAAATGTAGTCACCATGAGAGACTGTCCCCAGTATGCAGAATAGTGCCTGGCACATGATAGTTTATTGAATATTTGTGAACAAATGATGACTTTGGTCTTTTAAGTATTTTCTGAATCTTATTATAGTCAACTCTGGGTTATCTAGCATGCATGGAAATCTAAAACTGTAGTTTTTATTAGGTGCTGCAATATATAACCCACAGAAACAAACACTTGTCCAAAAATTGGGGCATGCTAGAGTACCATAATACTAAAAGTAACAATGAACTTGATCCAGAAACTACTTGGAGACCTTTCTACACCTTTGGGTTATTGTTCTGTGTATCAGTAACCACGTGCTGTTAGAAGGAAGAATTTAATGCAGGACTGTGGTAGTATGCTATGTAGCAAAGATTTTTCTTTCTGGACCTAGTATTTTAAAATAATTTTAGGACATCACTCCTTCTCAAACTTGCATTCTGCAGTGGACAAATTTGGTAGGGCCTGGGACCGTTGAAGATGGTCCCTGTTGTCTTTAAGATGTGTTTTTGTTTTTTGTTTTGTTTCTTAGGACAGGTCTTTGTACCATTTCAGAAATGTTTGAGAAGGTGTTTGTTATTGTTTGTTTGGACTTTTTTCTCCTTGTGGTGTTGGCATAAAACCTAGGGCTTCATGCATGCTAAGCAAATGCTCTATTGAGTGAGCTACAAACCAGCTCACATTTGAGAAGTTTTGCGCTCCATGTGAGGCCGCAGAGTTTTAAACTTCTCTGCATTTTCTTTTACAGATCTGAAGAAAACTCTTGCTGTGTTATTGGATAACATTTTGCAACGCATAGGCAAGCTGGAGTCGAAGGTGGACAATCTCGTGATCAATGGCACAGCAACAAATTCGACCAACTCCACCACAGCTGTCCCCAGCTTGGTAGCACTTGAGAAAATTAATGTGGCAGGTAAGAATGGCAATTCCATGTCTTGACACAAATTTGAATCCTCCTTTGGACCAGGGCACAGTGCTTATTATTGGTATAAGTTCCATAAATTTGGTATGGTTGTTGTGAAGGTATTTAAATTTATTTTTCAAATAACAAATGTCAAAATGTGTTTGTGGGCTCATTGCAATGTGTAATTTCCGGTGGTTTCTCTGACACATGTGCACATAATGAGCTCCTGGAATTGACTTCTACTGAGATGGCTCATAAAGTAGGTTAAATGAAATATAGACGTTATCTGAGACATTCACACCAGTTAAGAGTCCCTTCCTCTTCCCCACTCCTGTCAGACAGTTTCAGAAGTCTGTTATATATGGTAGATTGTCCTCTTCCCTGTTGTTAATGTAGAACTGCCAGGGTGGAAAATGTCTCGTATGCGTATGTGGAGTGATAGTAATTCTGGAAATAGCCTTTGAGATAAGTGTCCCCTACCCATGCTGGCCAGGTATAGCCACTCATGGATACCACCAAGCAATTCCCACTGGAAGGGACCATTTTGTTTGATCCCTTTTTGAAGTGGGAATCTCAGACCAGAGAAGGGAAATGGGTTAAGAACAAAACCCATACTGTGTGCAGTATGTCCTTGTCCACAGCTACATTGGGCCCACCTTTCCATCACACTGCCCTGGGGTCAGCACCTGGACTTTTGCATGTGAGCCAGGGCTGCACTTGGTAGGGTAAGCACTGCTTCGTAGGAACCCAGGAGAAAGCACAGAGCCCAAGGATTGGGACTAGGTTCTTTGGATGAGTGGTTGTGAATAAGCTATCTATACTTCCTCTGGGTGCAATCCCCCAGCTCTTGAGTTACTGAGTAGCTGAATTATTTTTTAAATTTAAAAAGAAGTCTAGTTTCACACTCTTTTAAAACTCATTTTTTTTCTCTCTCCGATTTTCTGGTAAAAATTCACATTTTTAAGTAGCAGAGATTCTTTTCCTTTCTCACATCTCAGTGTCAAAACATTTAATCGTTTCACATTATGCAGCTGGTTGTATTACCTTTTTGTTATGTTCTTTGCCCTTTAGCAATTTTAAGTTGCAAACTATATTTCTAATAACCCAAAGTATCTACCAAACAAAAGCATTAAAAATAACTTTTAATTACAACACAGAGGCAGTGTCATCCAGGCCGTAAATCCTATCTTCCCTGCAGTTTCCAGCAGTTTCTGTTAATTAGACAAGAAAACCTCCCACTGTGTTGAGCTGCTTATTAATAAACGGAAACCATGCCTCTCCAGTCTCTACTCCCTGTGCCTGTTCCCAGTAGAAGATGCTTTTGGAAAGGTCTTCTCTGATTTTGTGTTACCTAATTTTGGAGGTGGAATGGGAGTGTTCTGCCTTTAATTTTGCCCTCTCTCTACTGCCTCTTTCCTGTAGGTTAAGGGCCCATGTAAACATTTGTGCCATCATTCTCTCCTCTACTGTGTGATCTTGCTGCCTCAAGCAATCCTGTCTGTACGCCAGACCACAGAGAGAGACTTCTCTGCCTGGGCTGCAAGTTTCAAGGCACAGAATCATGGGTGACCTCCAAAAATGGCATGGGAGGGACTTGGGGGCTGCTTCTTTGAAACATGTGTCTAGATAGTTTAACTTAGCTGACAAATGTCTCTTGAGCATATTCTCTAAGCCGTTGGCTCAGATTCGAGCTCCTTTAAATGTGCCACTGCTATATGTTTTTAATATTCAAAAAACCAGAGTATTTTATTTTTGTTATTGTTTTCCTTTGTGGGAAATAGGAGCAAATTTAGAGTTTACCTTTAATAGTTAACCTTATTCTCATGCCTTTACATCCTTTTTGTGCAAATATAGTTGATTCCTTCAAGATTTTTATTGGCTAACTAGGGAAATAACATACGTGCATAAAGTAATATAAACTATGGCCATTGTGAGGTGGGAGTGACTGGGGAGGCATCCTGCAGGAAGGTACACTCTGGACGGAGGTGGGTAGAATTGAAGCATAGGTGCCTTGTGCAGGAGAGACAGAAGAGAAATGGATTGTGAGCCAGACATATGGGAAAGGAAGGCAAGGAAGCTAATAGTAACCACCCTTCACACGCCAGTGGCTCTTTCTGCCTCTCCAAGATTCAGGGGTTTACTTAATCTTTGTAGGGCATCTGAGAAGTGGTTTCCAGTTGTTACTGAGTTTAAGTAGTGGGTAGGGGGAACCATTGGTCCTGAATTCCTTTTTGCTCAACTGATGTTCTCCTAGTGCTCTATGGGGAAGAGATTCTGAGCGTTTGTTCCCTGTCTCATTTCCATTTGTAAACCATTACAAAGGGAGGAGTCTGCAAAAAGGTGTTACCATTTTCTAGAATGTTCTAGAAAAGGGAAGCTAAGTTTCCTGGGGTGTTTAATAACTCATCTGATATGGAGGTTCTCTGTGTCATGGAGTGTACTCATTTGCCTGGTCTTTGTGACACCTGGTTCCTCAGTGTGCAGGGGCAGCCTGTTATTAGGGCCAGATTGTATGTGGATATTTTGGGCGTCTTCCTCCATTTCCCACAGAGTTGGAAGGTCTCTTATCAGTTAGCTAACACATTCTTTTTTTTTTTTTTTTTTTTTTTACTGTCTGCCATTCCTATAGATCAAGGTGCCAAAAAGAAGAATGAGAACTTAAGTTAATGGTTCTCACTCATGAGCAGTTTGTCATTGCTTTTCTATTCTCTCCCTAGTCTATGGCTACACTGTTGGTCCTCAGAGCCCTCTTGTCATCTGGAAAATGGCTCCTGAGCTGCAAGAGTTTCCTTTTATGGGGTTCGACTCCTAGCTGAGTGAAGTTTTTCTTTCTCCCTTCCTGCATAAGACATGTGGTAATTGCTCAGAAATGCTTTCCCTGGTGTGTCTTTACTGCTCACTGATGTTTCTGATTGCTTACTGTTGTGTCTTATTGCTTGTTGATAGATCTTCTGGTTGACTATAAACTGCTTCTAAATTGGGTGCCATAGCAGTTGAAGAAGGGTTCCCTGGATTTATTTTCTTTAAAGGGACAGCTGTGTGTGTGTATGTGTGTGTGTGTGTGTTCCCTTTCCTTGCTCTGTTCAGCTGTGTTCTATGTGGCTTTTATCCAAAATGGCTTTTCTTTCCAAATGTATCACCCTTGGGCTTTTTTATTATGTGAAAGTAAATGTGCCTCTAGAGAAATTTTAGGTGGAAATGAACTTTATTAAAATTGAGAATCAGATTGAACTGTATGTGTGAGCTCTGTTTATCTTGCTGGAGAGGAAGGGGAATCAAAGAAATGAAAAAGAAAGTTGAAAAAAATCCTTGTCCTTCCACCAATCACATAGTAAATTAATTTATCCAGATTTATTCTCTGAAAGGGCTTGAATACTCCCTTGTCAAAAATATCAAATTTCATGGGGTGGGAGTAATGTCTTAGAGGATGTATGCTTTGAGGGGTGTATGTGCACATGTGCATTATTTACTTATACTATCAATAACCAGTTGCTATCACTCAGCTGCTGAATAATTGACCAGTGTTGCCTCTTCACTGAAAGTCAGAATATGTTAGCATCCACTTTGTGTTGTGACCACTTATAACTGCAGTGTCAATTGGGAAACACAATCACCAAATTGAATGTGCAGGCACAACTCAAGTGACTGTTTCCTGGTATTCAGTCTAAACTGAATGTTAGGCAGCCCTGCAGTTTGCTCTTTTTTCAAATGTCATTGGCCACACACATTTCCCATGTCTGGGACTGGAGTGCAGTGTATGTGAATATGGATGCTGTTCTTAAAAACAACAATCATTTCTATTCTTACAATTTGAATATTGAAAATGAAAAATGTCCCCACTGAGTTCCGGGCTTGCCTTTGGAAGTGTTATTTCCCAGCTTTGTACTGCTAATGGACCTTGAAATTAGGTTGCACCTGTGCTTTTTTCCCTGTTTGTGTACGACTGCTATCACTTGTGTTGAAGTAGCACCTGAAGTGTCGCAGTTCCCACACCCAGGGAGTGGGACCCCAGATATTGCAGAGGGCATGAGCACACTGCAGGGGGCTGTCCTGTTGATTTGAGCAAGAAGCAAACACGTTCCATCTTCCCATGTCACTTTCTGCTTTGTTTTTGCAAAGGCAGCGATAAATACTTGGATACTTGTCAGAAACTATTCTTTTGGAGTCTTCACAGAAGTTGCACGTCATTGTTGTGGTTTCCACTTTGTGTGGTCAAGGGCTTTTCAATTTTTATCATTAAGAAGTACTGTTCAGGAGAAGCGATGCTGACCTTCAAGGCTGTGTATCTATAGTAATAATTTTCAACTGTGCATAATTTTGTCCATCTAGAGACATTTTTGGTTGTCACAACTGGGAGGTGCTATTTACATCTAATAGGAAGGGGTCCAGGATGCTACTAAACATACCCCAGTATACAGGGCAGAGCCCACAACTGAGAACTTTCCAGCTCTGAACATCAGTTGTACTGTGGCTGAGGAACCCTGATCTGTAAGGCATTTCTGGAACCTGTTGGCAGGAGGTACTTCCACTTATGGTCAGTATACAAAGATGTCTGAGTCAGATGTTCGTGTTTCCTGCCTGGAAAGCTGAGACCTGAAGTCTCTTCCCTTCTTCCTAGCTTGTTTGCAAGCTACCCCCCAGCCCCCACCCTGTTTTGCTTTGCAATTGGTCTTTGAGAACTCCAAGGAAAGAAATTTTATAAACTCAGAAGACTGGGAACCCTGACCTTAAGCTCGTTTCCTGGCCCACAACCAATACGTTTTGGCAGTGTGCATTTTGCTTCTGCTTATATTGAAAATAATTATTTCCTTTCATGAAAGAGCCACTAATTCAGACTACTAATGGTACAAAGTAGTCTGAGAGAATGGATTTAAATTGCATAATGTTAGAATGAATCCCATTTATTAATTTGGAGCAGGGTATATGTAATTATCAAGATATGAGAGAGAGAATTAAATAAGTTAAGGAAAACAAAACAGGTTCTCAGCCATGGAGTTTCCAGCATAAAA